CAGCTGTTGCTGCTGCTGCTGTGAATATAAAACAGAGTCAGAGTGCATCCATCACCACCCAGCTCCATCTGGTACTCAACATACAAGCGTGGAGAAAAGGAAACTACTGGCATCATGTGAGAGACACTTTGAGTCTTTTAATGCTTCAGTTCACTCCTTAATAAACTCTGCTCTGCTGACAGCTCACGATGGCTTTGAGCCCAGATAATACGTTGTGAAGGATTACTAAGGCTACCCATTACACGGAACTTCGCCTTGTATGTATGGGAGAATATATAATCACGGTAATATAGATTAAATAGTCAAATAAGAGTAAATATAGACACTATTGGAAAAAATGGTCATAAAATAACCTTGTGTAGAGACATACATATATAAATATAACTTACTTTTGTTTATGGCAAATAACATGCTCTCCCTGCTAACTATCGGTTAAGACGCGTTTTATCTCAGTTGCTAACGGGATTGTCACTAAGGCTTTATACTTTACAGGTAGGAAAGCTTGAATAAAAGTGGACGCTGCAGCAAAGCTAATTAGCATGAATGTAATTTCTCCAGTTTGAACTCTTCTGCTCTCCGTTTCCTCAAAGGTCAACATCGTCAAGATTGCCTCCCCGTTTGGACAAGAGCTCAGACTCATAGGTCAAACTGAACCTGGTGACTGATGAATTGATCACGCCACCCCATTTCACCATTTGAAATGCTAGTATGACCTGACCTTTACTCTTCTGTCCCAATTAACAACGAAAGGACTGTGTAAAGAATAATTATCTGTTAAATGTTAGCCCAGTGAAAACACTACAGTTTCCCTCCATGCTGTTAATGTTTGGGAGAAGAGTGTTATCTTTCAGAAACAAACATGGATGAGATTATTGACAACAGGATCAGGATCCACCTTCACTGACATGCAAAGCTTCTCATCAATATTTAACCAGAGAATCACACATAATTATTAACACAGCCTGAATCAATGTTTGCTTAAAATACTAACACATTTAATCCCCAGATCACACTTTCTGTTAAAGGCTATAAGTGTTTACAAATAAACTAAGTTAACTCATTTTAGATGCTTAACCGTCAACCTGCATGAATTCATAATTAAGAATAATCCACATTAAACTCTTTTTATATTACACTTGGTTCTTTAAACTCAAAACTGTCTTCTCTCCTCCCAGCTCATTCTCATGCTGTTTTCTTTCTGTTTTTCTAAAGTCCGTTCAACGTCTGCTTGGCTGTTTTCAAACTAACCAAGGCAAAGGCAAAACTCTCCATTGTTGATGGTGCAGAAGTAAAGTTCTGCCTAACAACAGCTTTAACCTGATACCTTGGGGGTCTACGGTAATAGTGAGGATATCTGTGGGAGCAAATTGCTGAATGAGTGTTCAATCAATTAAAAGCATGTTTTATGTTGAAGCAAGTGACGAGAAAAGATTAAAATGAGCACAACGGGAGAGCAGTGTCAGCTGGAAGTGCTGAGTCCTCCTTACTTCTACTTCTACCCAGCTGTTTTTTTGCTAGGAAAAAGTCTTGTCATTTTCCCATTTCGCTGACGTTCTCAATATTCAGAGCATTAAAACAGCAGCAGATGCTTAATGCTGATAAAAGAACCACATTCTGGCTCCATTGCCACACAGTGGAATAGTCCTTCTCATCCACAGTTCATCAAATCACATGCTTTTTTTAAAGGATGGATTCTGAGGCAATGTTATTCACTTATGATGCCAAATATGTATGGATAGACAGCAGACAACATCAGTGTGATAACTTAAAAGTATTTCCCCTCATTCACTGGTAGACGTTACATCTTAGTTTGAATGGCTTCTGCTATTAAAATCTACAGAAGACAAGATGTTACTTTATCCAACAAATGAGCTCCTTCAAGTTTGACTGGAGAGGGACACGTTTTAGTTTACCATTGAATAACTTCTTGGCCACATTCCACTTGCTCTCTGAACTGTACAGTTGTCATTAAGACAGACCTTTTGATCGTTATACACATCCTGTAAAAGCCAGTCAGTTAAAATGAGAACATAGTTTTCACCATATTCCTCGTGATTTTGCAGCAAAAACAAACGTACAAAACAGAAATAACCTTCGAGTCTCAGGTTCTTTTATTAAACGGAAGAATTTTCCAATACAAGTACAAAACCTAACAAAGAAATGTGTCCTTATCCCAGCTGGTTGAAAGAGCACCACCCCTACACATTGCTCTTTTCTGCTTTGACATTTTGGGAATTTTTATTTCTTCTTATCTAACCAACACACCCACAGTGAGTGTGTCACTGTATTTGACTCTCAAGATTTGTTTTAAAGTTTCGAATCTCTCACATTTCCTCTCGGCTTATTTAACATACAGTATCTCTGGTTTGCATAGTTTGTTTAATCTCTCACCCGTCTGATTTGAACATCAAACAGCCAGCTGGTTTCTCAGTGTGCAGGCCACCAAAGAGTGTGATGCTCATGACGAGTGTGTGTGTGTGTGTGTGTGTGTGTGTGTGTGTGTGTGTGTGTGTGTGTCAGAGCACGGTGTGATCCTGTGTTTCTCGCTGACTCTGGCTTCAGTGTTATCTGATTCCCCCGCTGTGTTTGCTCTCAACAGGTTTTTTATTTTCTGATTCCCCTGCTGTCTATATTCTCGTGGATTTTCTTTATCAGACCCCCTGCTGAGTCTCTCTTCCCCTCTCCTCTTGGTTTTCAGGGCTTTTTCTTGACCCTCGAATGGATACAACAAAAAGCTTTTCTCATAAATAAGATTGAGTTAATACTCGGTGCTTCACTTGATCTGTCGAACATGATGCCGTAACTTTGTCCCCAGGCGGGTCTGTGTTACACAAATTGGTCTGAGACTCCTGCTTTCTATCGATTCTTTGTTGCTTTCGCCCACCTGTTGTAATTATAACCACATTCACTCTGGACTTGTAATAGGCCAAAATCCATGTTTGAATTCAAACACGCAGAAAATAAGAAGAAATACATTTAGAGTGGGTTCAATCAAACTGCTGCGGGAGAACAGGGGGTAGCAAGATGAACAACTAATAATGTAGGGGTGTGCAAAATGGCATGAATATTCTATCACTGCTTATGTAATTTTATATCAACGAAAACAATTGCCTCACATGAGACCCCATTTTAATAAGAAAACAGAAAAACAAAAATTATGCTGCATTTAGAGTTTTTGAGAATGTTAATTTAAAGTGTTACAGGTTTTAAAGTGAGCCCTTATCATAGAGTTTTTTTTAGAAATGACAGAAGACGTGGTTTTTCCTGACAGATTTGTTAATTTTTCCATTTCAAAAAGTTGACAAAACAAAGTCAAAAATAAACTGAAGAGGGGAAAAGCTGCCAAAGTTTAACTAGTTGCTCGGTAACTAACATATCGGGACACCCTATGTTTACTTTGCTACGTGTTTAATATGAGGAAAGTTAGAGTTTAATAATAGCTCAACAAAGATCTGATGTCCAATCGGTTTATTGGCTGTTGAAATCACATGTAAGTAGTGTGGGGGAAACCTCTGAAGCAATTGGAAACAGGACTCAGAGAGACACGAGGAGAGCTGGAGCTTTGATGGCAAACACTGACGGTTTATTTGGAGTTACGGCCGGAGAGTTGACAAGACAGGTGGTGTGTCACGAGTTGACACAGCGGTTGCCAAACCAATTCTGAAGAACTCTTCTGCAGCTCGAGGTTTTAACTTCGCAGTGTAATAATCAACATTCTTTATCAGTGAGACTAAAGCAACTAGAGCTGTCGTCCATAGAAAAGAATGTGCGCCAGGGAACCTACGTCCCTGAACAGTAAATACCTCATGGTGCTCTGTCACAGACTGGCAACAACAATGCGCCCAAGCTGCCCCTCCTTAAGAGAGATAGCAGCGATACCCAAGGCCGTAGACCTATGCCATGGGAAAGGAGACAGTGAGAGGAGAACATGATGAACTGTGTCGAAGCTTGAATACCTAAGCAAATGATTCCCCAACAAGTAGAGTTTTTGCGATTTCTTTCCCCGGTCAAACATAAAAACATTTCTTTAAATATCTCTGACTTTTTTGAACTGATATCCACTGTATCCCCTCTCTTTTTATTGTGCTCCAATGAACAAGGACATGTTATTTCCGTTTTAGAACGTATTTGACTGAGGAGATCCTTTGGTACGATTGTTGGAAACCAAAATACTAACCCGTCGTACTTTCTAAATGAAAATAAAGAAAGCTGAATACTTCACCCTCTGCTGCACATACTGAAGGAGACTAGAATAATTTGCTCAGAGCAGTGAATCAATTAGACACACAGTACAATTCCTATTTTATTATTAATTCATCATTTACATAATAAATAAATGCCCAGAGGTATTTTGAAAAATAACTGCTTTGACAATCAAAAATGGTTTTTCTTCTGATAGCAGTAATTGCTATGCATCTCAGTTTTAAATATAAACAACTGTCAATTATAATTTTTTGAACAGAATTATAATTATCTGTTTTTTATGCTGGATGCCAGATGAGTATTGCAGAAGCCGCGACTCAAAATGTTCCCCGAAACCATATTCTCAGTTTAACATGGATTTCCACAAGAGTATCATTTTCTCCAACATGTTCCTCTTCAGGTAAATGGCTATTTTGTTTTGGGTTATTATTCCTTCCATGTGATGAGTATGTTATTGTTATAATCGCCCAAAAATAACTAAGGATGATGGCACAAGGATTGGAACTATGCACCCCAGAGATCAAATACGACTAAATATGCCTCTTTTTCTTTTGGTTGATTAAAGCATTTAATTATTCATGGTCAGTGAAAATCTGAAATACATGTAACTGTGTTCAGTTCCAGGTCTTTACAAAGAACAAAAGCCTACAATTATAAAAGCAACTATGTTGAGCATGTTTGTATCACTAATTCCACATTTCAATGATGAATAAAATACTGTTTTCAAGGATTTATTCATTAAAATCTAAACAAGAAGTGAACACAATGTCTTAAAAATGTCTTCCTGTCTTTCCCACAGGCTTTTTACTCTTGGTCTCCGCTGTTCTGCAACCAACGATCCTCTGATGTGTAGCTGTTAGAGAGAAAGAAAGACAAGGTTAATATACTGTCATTAAACAACACGTTGTCCCTTAATGCAACATAAGTAAAACACAAACAAAATAAAAAAATTATGTGTGTACATTGCTCAAAAATACTGTATTGAGCAACAGCATTACTTATTTTCAAATCCATTGTCTTGTATGCATGTTATACTCTTTAATTAGCCAAAAAGATTGTAAAGCTTTCTAATTCCATTGATCATGACTGAATTATAGTTATACTGATAATGACCCACGTAAAAAACGGTTAACTCTATTGATTCCCCTGGCCCTAGGGCTTTTAATTATGTCTAATAGGTAATTATTATCATTGTCTACTTACTCTCCGGGGTGCAAAGAGGTTCTTCCACCATGTTGCGTAACTCGATTTCTTTCAGCCTGATCTTGATCTCACACATGTCATCTTCCTCGCTCCACGAGGTTGAACCAAGATCCACTGCTGACGAGCTGAAGACGTCCAGAGGTCGGTAATCAGCCACCGCCAGAGAACCCCACCAGTCTTCTTTAGCGTCATCCTGCAGAGTTGTTGAGTGTGTTTTACCAGTGCCATCTTTGCAACCCTTATTAAAAAAAGCTTCAGTGAAGCTGATGGGCAGAGGGTTCAGCTGTTCTGTTTTCAGATCCAAATAGGTCCAGATGTTCTTGTTGTCTGCTCTTTTGTCATGAATTGAGGGGAAATACCTGCCAGCAGCCATGTTGCTGGTTGAGTGCATTATTTGTGTTTAGATTCAAACTGGATAACATCATTAGTTCTAGAACATGGACAAATGTTATGTTCAACAACAAGGCGCATCATAATATGCTTGTTTTGTTTCACAGCGAGTTGGCTGAGTAGGTTGATGCAGCCTATTTGTTTGTAGAGTCTAACTATGCCAGGAGCCTCTTAGCTTTTCTTATCTAGGCTTAGCTATTTGTTGGCCTCGTGCGGTGACTTCATGGATTCAATTGAACAACCACTGTGTTTTTGCCTCTGAAACTGTAATGTTTCTGAGTGATGTTAAAGTCACCTCCTGTTTACAGAGTTGATTGCCTTTGATTGGACAGAATAAAAAGACATTCAATCGATTTTCACACTGCCAAAATCACTAGCAATAGCTAAGCTAGCCGATATATTAGCCTAGCTAGCGCTATATAATTAAAGTTAAACTAGCTAAATAGTCATTCATATTATGTAAGGAGGACTTTATGTTCAAATATAATGTATATCCATTCCTCGTATTTGTTAGTGGGTAAAGTCATCCTACAATAAGCCTAAATCTATTTGTTCAGCTCTTTGGTTAAAGGTAAATTAAATACACAGATAATAAAAAGTACAAGTTAAGTTATAAGTAGGCAAGGTGTTGGCTAGCTCAGTGACTTAAACGGTCCAAAAATATATATTAGTTGCCAATCTATCTTGAATGTAATCACAAGAAACACTCTCAAAACAAGGACAGGGACTTTTTTGTTTGCATGTGTAAACAAACTAAGAAACAAGGAAATAGAGCTCTCAAAGCTATAGCTACTTTGGAGCTCATCCCACAGGCCAATTGAGAGACTTGTCATTAATTGGTCTATACCTATATATTGTATGTATATATAATGCAGTATTAGGCTTCAATGTGTCATTTAGTAACTTTGTTGGTTGTTAACCTCGAGATTTGTTTTATGTAAAACGTTTACCATGGCTCAAAAGGTTGAAAAACAGTGTGCTAGCTAACTTAATTGTGTTGGCGCCAGAAGCCTGTCTGGCGGGATTTATCGCCCTTTAGGCTGGTTAAATGGTGACCAATAGCTCCTTATTTGTCAGCAGCACACGCAGTGGAAGATGGAGAACTGGAGAATTGGCATTGCGGAGGGTTTTCTTGGAAACTGCTTTTATTCGACAAGGGGAGGAGCAGGTGCAGTGAAGTTGGAGCTGTGAACACATAGTAAAACCACCTTTCTCTCTCTCTCTCTCTCTCTCTCTCCCCCCTCCTCTCTGGTCCTTCAGTCGGGTGTTGGGGAGATCTCTCTTGGAGCTGTAGAGGAGAGGTCGACCGTCTCTCTCCTCCAGCAGTTTGTCTGCAGCCTCCAGTCGCCTCATCATGGATTTTGGGACTAAAAGAGTCGCTGGGATTATCGCTCAAGTCGCCCTGCTCCTCTGCAGCTCGTCCGGGACACACGGAGCAGGTGAGCAGGCTGCGCGCTTTCTCCTTTCCCCGGGGGAGAGGGAGCGAGTCCGGGCAGCGCGGACCCGGAGGGGAGGCTCTGAACGGGCACTTCATGTCTCTGTCATACCGCCTTGAAGAAATATAATGCTTCTATGTTTTGAATGCAATTAATTTCATTAATAAGTCTCATTTACCTGGTCTATCAGTCTGGGGAAAAGTGCAGAGTTTTTCTGTTTTTCAAGGGGGGGGTTACTGCGCTTGAGTTGTTGAGGAGAAATACGGTTTGATGTGAATAATGATTCAATTTATGCGCATTTGTTAGAACCGGATCTGTTTGAACAACGAACAAGATCGTTATTCTTTCAGAAACGTTAACGTAGAACGTGTCGACTGAGTCTTTTGTTTTACTTTGATTCAATGTCGTTTCCTTGTTAAGTTTATTTTACTATTTTAAACACCTGATTCCTGCTGGAAAGCTTTGCATTTTAGGACACAGAAGGCTTGTGATTCACATTGGCATTTAGAAGGTCTCAGCTGTGTGTGTTTATCCTCTATGGGCTGAAATGACACAATTAGAAGCCAGTTCTTGTTTTATCCACTGTGTGCCCAAAACAAGGTTATCTGTTGTCTTTCTGGTTAATTTGGTGCTCAGTGCAGCATGATGGGAAACCTGGGACCGAGCCACGGTGTTTGGCTCACACACCCCAGAGAGTGAAGGTTGTCAGAAGGAAAGGTGATGTGCAGGTTGGAGGCTTGGTTTTGAGACCGAGAGGTTGCTGTTTGGATTCTGTGGTTTATGGCATGTGGAAATACCAATTATCCTCCTCATAAGTGCCTTTGAATGAATGTTTGACATCAAAATGTTTCAGTCGCTGTGTCAGTGTGTGAGTGTGAGTTGGGGCGTTGCTGTCATACTTCAATTCTGAAAGAGGAGAGAAAAGGAGTGAAATCTAAGAGGAGAGAAACCGGACATGTATGTACTTCTGATGGCGGGAAAGTATTTTATACCTTCCCTGTTTTACGCTCCTCCTTAATGACACAACAATCTCTTGTCATGCTGTTTCTTGTGCTCTTTTTCGATTCTTCATTCGGCACATTTTTGGCTGTTTTGGCTCTCCTGCTTTGGTTGTTAAAGATGTCAATCTGTGCACAATACTATTTCCGTTTCCCCCTTCTTCCCAATCCTCACTCGCTTCTCTCTACCTGACTCTTTTTTCTTTTTCTTCTGCTTCTGTCTTTTCTTATCTTTCCTTACACCCACCTGTATTGTCTTTAACCCTCTTAAAACCCATCAGGTGTATTACATTACTTTGCTAATAACTCACATTTGTTTTCATTCATTAAAGAGGACCTCCCAAAATGCATGCTGTCAGACTGAGTAGGCCTACATGTCAAATAAAAACACTGTATATCTTCAATGTATAGCGATATTAATACTGTAAAATAAGACTTCTGTAAAATAAGACAACTTTAAGCTACTTAAAAATAAAGTAAATTGCCCAAGTTAAATATTAACAAAGCAACATAATTAGGCAAAAGGTGTTCGATCTTCCTGCTACAACAGCCGGCTGTAAGAGAGATTGTGCCTCTACAGTCAGACAGAGAAACTAAGGCGGGATACGTTAGAGAGGAGTGGCTTTGAAGACATTATATTAAGTCACTCATATGTTCTTCCTCCATGAAAGAAACATCTACATCTGCCCTCACCAAACATCTGATTGGCTCCACCCCCCCTGCTGTTTCCGAATCTAACTCTCAGTCGTCTTCTTTCTTCTCTTCCAGCTTCTTTCCTCCTCCTTTATCCTCCAAACACACACGTCTCCATTTCTTTTCCTTCCCACTTTCTTTCTCTTGCCTTGATCTCTGCCCTCATGCTGCTCTATCACTCTTTCTTCCCAATTCTTCCTCTTTTCCTTTCCGGTCTCTACACCTACTTCTTCTTCTCCCTGTTTCATGTCCACGTGCCTCGCGCAGGAACCTTCCCCTCTCTGTCTGTCTGCATGCTCCCTCCCGCTGCTCTCTTTCCGCGCTGTTCTTCTGAAGGTTTTTACATTCGGTTTCAGCCGAAAAACAGTGAAACTGTTTGACTCATAGTTGCCAGTATTTAACATATTTAGTATTTGTATATCAAAGAACAACCATTTCCTGTAAGCAAATTCAGTTTATTTATACTTTACTTGTATTTGATACCCAAGGTTTGATTAAAGATCCGTCCCATTATAATGAATGCTTTCTCTAAGGACATTCTAGAGCGATTTTCCTCAAATTGGTACAAATGATCACTTTGCTGACTTATAGGTCACTGACCTAATAACTCAAGTACATATGCTAAGTAAGGCAATTTTTAATCTGTGTGGACAACACAGTGAACAATATTGCATATCTTTTTTAAAGGGTCCCTTTCATGCTTTTGAAAAGCCTCAATTGGACTCCTTTGTTTACATCCAGAACATAGTGACATCACTATGTAACACTCATGCTCATAGCCGTGGGAACATGTTTCAAATGGGGGGTGCTGTGGGTTTGACATCAGGGCCGGTTTTGACCAATTTGCGACCCTAAGCAAGATTTTAGCTGGCAATGAAAAACCTCTACAAAACACTACAAAAAGATAAACGTATTGACATGGGGGACAGCTTATATAAAAAGGCTTCAAATGTATTTAGTATTGCATAAATATGTTTTAATTGGGGGTGGACGTCACATCCTCTAGGGGGGTCCGGGGGTATTTTACTTTAACATTTTAAAGTAAAATACTTCAATCTGGTGCACTTTGAGCGCCCAATTACTTGAGACTGGATACAACTCTAAACACCCATGTGAAAAAGATCGGTTTGCATTTTATTAATCAAATAAGTATATGAACATAACCAATAACCTACCATAGCCAATAACAAATAAATGTAGGCTAACTTGTTTTATTTTTGTGGTTCATTTATATCTTATTTTACCAGTTAACATTTATTTATTTATGCATATTTTTAAATCTCCAGTTTTAAACAATATTTTTGGTTTACTGTCCTATAGTATACATTGGAATGATTTCAAACCTGTTTTTATTTATCCTAATAATTATAAAGGTGTGCCTTGGAAATATTCCACGTGGGGTGGGGAGAGAGAGAGAAAAGAAATAAAAAGAGATAGAGAGAGAGAGAGAGAGAGAGAGAGAGTAGAGGAGAGAGAGAGCTAGCAGAGGAGGTAGAGAGAGAGAGAGTACCCGACACTCGACGCCCGCGGACTATTTGACATAATTTATAAACATAAATTAGAAACACTTTCAACGTCTAGGGGACAGGGAGGTGGTCCCCCACGACAGTCGTGGGAGTCGGGGGATGAAGGGTGACCGGGAAGGGATGCGACATGTATAGGCCGTACTTAGCGACTTTTCCAAAACCCTTTCGAAACAAAGGCACTTTCCGACCGTCTCCCACGCCGGGTATCGAGACCCGCACCGATGACCCATAAGGTATACAGTCTCATGGGTTCCTTCTTTTCCCCCCCTTTACCTTTAGAGTGCTCCCGCAAAACCCCTCCATAAACATAAATGACTCAAAAATGAGACC